AATTAGAACTGGCACTGAGTAGTTTTTCTATTTTTAACTGGTATTACTAATAACTACTATATCTATTGTAAAATATGCATGTAAAAAGACTTTGAATTTCAACACAGATACTTTAACTATGTTTTTGTAAATTACACATATCCTTGCAAAGCTGCGAGCGGAACACTTCGAAAGCTTGGAAATTTACAAGACAGCTTTAGAATTCAAATTCAAGACGACATTACGTCCATTCTTCCCATTTCTTCCTGTATATGAGTTTATCTGTTTGTGGATGTAAATATATGTTCATATTTAGGAAAAGAAAATTGAGGAGAAAACTGATGATTCGTCATCTAAAGGTATTTTTTAATTGGATCCAAAAAAATTATCTTTATAAAAATAACCAAAAATACAATTTTGCGATTAAAAGTTGAACTCTATTTTAAAAAATGTATCTCTGATAAAATTGTTTTAACGGTTTGTTTGTTATGGTTCAGGTGTACGGCAAAAACCAGCCTTCTACGTGCCTCTATCCAACTGTACTGCTGGGTGTAAACAAACTGTTGTACTGCACTGCATCATTGCTGGTAACTGTACACTTCAAAATTTATGCTAAAGGGACTGTATACTTTCTTTTAAATGATGCAATGTCCGCATTTACAACGGTACCCTTGAAACCTGAATATGATCAAAAATGTGGAAGCTACTGTCGTTTTTCTGACTCGAAAAGTGTTTATTTCTCTGAATTTCTCCAGTACTGTTTCTATAAGCAAGAAATGCGCATGTCATGTTTGCAGAGAACACAACTGAAAATTAACAGTTTAAAGAAACAAAATCATGGATACCTAATTCATACTTGTTCAGACTCGTAACGTAATTGTTGTAAATCGGGCATTGCCATCTTTGCGTAATTTCAAGTAACCCTCCATTTAAATCGTAATGGTCATAAAAAATGCTCTTTAACCATTTTCCTGGGGTAAATTATTTAGATAATCTTGCTTGTATCTATCTATCTGAAAATTGATCATTTCCATTCATGAAATATTAATTTGTAGACAAAGGAATAAAATTTAAGGTTCTTATTTGTTTTTTTAAGATGAAAAATTGATCCAGGGGACTATCCAAGTATACCTGGTTGTAACGTAGAGTAGTTGTCTGATAAGTCCAGCTCCTTGATCCAGGGGACTATCCATGTATACCTGGTTGTAACGTAGAGTAGTTTTCTGATAAGTCCAGCTCCTTGATCCAGGGGACTATCCAAGTGTACCTTGCATATCTTACAACCCTTCTAAAAATATGACATTAATATATTCCTGTTTGATGATATGTGACATTAATTTATTCCTGCTTGATGATATGTGACATTAATTTATTCCTGTTTCATGATACGTGACATTAATATATTGATATATAATGTTTGATGGTACAATTACGCTTAAACAGTCCCTTTAAAGGGACTCTTTAAGCGTAATTTCAAGTAACCCTCCATTTAAAAATCGTAATGGTCATAAAAATGCTCTTTAACCATTTTCCTGGGGTAAATTATTTAGATAATCTTGCTTATATCTACCTATCTGAAAATTGAAGATTTTCATTTCTGTCATGACATATTAGTTTGTAGACAAAGGAACAAAATTTAAGGTTCTTATTTGTTTTTTTAAGATGAAAAACTAGGATATCTCTAAAGTGTAGTCTTGACAATCGTGGATGTTACATATCTACTGGAGGGACACTTGGATAATGAGAAAATGAAGTCTATATTTCAGTTGATTAAATAGAAGTTTTTAAAAAATCTACGGAAATACATTTACAAACGTAGATCAAAAGTGATGTTTATTCAACATGGTATTTAACTATAGTCTACATGTGAACATGTGGGGAGACTGGATACAGTCAATAAGCGTATATCCGGCTCTTAGCTAGGTTAGAGCTCATACACAGGTCGTCTTTAATATCGCCACACAAGATTGAGATAATGAAAATTCAAAGTCCTTTCTTCAGGTTGTCCTGTCCCTGCTGTGTCCTGGTTTAAGGACGGTGTGAAGGTAGCAGAGGACGCAAATATCAGTTTAGTCCAGGACAAGGACCATTACAGGCTTGTCCTGGTTAATACAAGTCCTAAGGACAATGGAGAATACAAGGTAATGTAATTCAGCCAAAAAATATGTACATTATAATTTTTTTTTTAATCATGAATTTCCATGTAATCCTTTAAACAGAGTCGTTCAGTCAATAAAAAAAAAATTTATTCTAAAGCGCTAAAATATTTTTATTTCAAATTATTTTAAGTTCAAAGCTGTGTGTAAGTCAGGTTGGTGCTTTTTTATGTTTTTCATGGGAGTTTTCTACATTCTGTGTTTGTTTTTTTCCAATTAATTAATTGAAGGAAGAATGAATTTGTGAATTAAATAAAGAAAACATAAAGAATCAAATAAACGAATGAATTAATGAGCTGAAGTGTTGATGAAAGGGTGTTAGGTACTTTCTTAAAGGCATTTTCCCAAGTGGCAACTTCCGAAATGTGCAATTTCCCAAGCGGCAACGTCTAGGAAAGACTGGAGAAGTTGTCGCTTGAGAAACTGCTTATTTGGGAAGTTGTCACTTGGGAATTTACCCTCGGGAAGTCGTCGCTTGGGCAAGTACCTAACATGGAGGAAAGTATGATAAGATCTAAAGAATGAATGAGTGAATGAATATGTTCAAAACCAAATCAAGACTGTAGACGTAATTTCAAAGGACATCTATTTGTAGAGTGTTCTCCGAATCACAACCTTCGACAGATCAAAGATGACGGAGCTATCCTTATTTCACACTCTAGTTTGCTATTTTTAACTACTTTATGCTACTGTAATGCTTTGTGGGACACCATGTAGAATTAAAAATGCGGAATACTCCGCTCCGGTAATATTGAAAGNCCCATATCTAGTCACTACAAATTACCCTTTTAAGATGAATGAATAACCAATTACAGGCTGTAGCAACTTTTTTAAAACTTTTTTTTTTAGGTTGTAGCAACTAATTCAGAAGGAACCTCTCAGTCGTCTTGTTCTTTATCAATAATATCATCAGACCCTTCTCCTTCTACATCTGTGGCAGTGACAGCTGAAAATGCACATCAAGCGATGATAAAAAACAGCTATACTCACTCATCAATTTCTCAGGTTTATTTTCAAGAGTTTATTAAACTATTGGAGACTACTATAGACTACATTTGTTGATTTAAAAGTGCTGGGTCAAATCTCACTGGGTAGTCCAGACTGGACGATACGACTTAATACAATACAGTACATGTTTGCACTGACTCGGATCAGGCCATGCTTTAAGTAAATTCTTACTTCACTTTAGCAAAAGAGCTACTTTTAGTTTATCAAGAACTTAGAAAGCACTTCTACATGTTCTTTTCTTTGTAACATAATCTTTCCTACCAGTATATAAGGCCAATCATTTTCTAAATTTTAAGTTTAAAAAATAACAGTTCAAAAACTCTAAAAATATCTTCAGTTTTGCTCAAAATGTCCTTGCTGTAGATTTATTTGACGATGTAAAGAGTGTGAACTGTATAAATAGAAGATAGTAGCGCTGGCTGTTCAAAACTTTAGAAGATAGTAGCGCTGGCTGTTCAAAACTTCAGAGGATAGTAGCGCTGATTGTTCAAAACTTCAGAAGATAGTAGCGCTGGCTGTTCAAAACTTCAGAAGATAGTAGCGCTGACTGTTCAAAACTTCAGAAGATAGTAGTGCTGACTTTTCAAACAGAAGATAGTAGCGCTGACGGTTCAAAACTTTAGAAGATAGTAGCGCTGGCTATTTAAACCTTCAGAAGATAGTAGCGCTGACTGTTCAAAACTTCAGAAGATAGTAGCGTTGGCTGTTCAAATCTTCAGAAGATAGTAGTGCTGACTGTTCAAAACTTCAGAAGATAATAGTGCTGACTGTTCAAAACTTCAGAAGATAGTAGTGCTGGCTGTTCAAAACTCAGAAGATAGTAGTGCTGGCTGTTCAAAACTTCAGAAGATAGTAGTGCTGGCTGTTCAAAACTTCAGAAGATAGTAGCGCTGACGGTTCAAAACTTTAGAAGATAGCTGACTGTTCTAAACTTCAGAAGATAGTAGCGCTGGCTGTTCAAAACTTCAGAAGATAGTAGTGCTGGCTGTTCAAAACTTCAGAAGATAGTAGTGCTGGCTGTTCAAAACTTCAGAAGATAGTAGCGCTGACGGTTCAAAACTTTAGAAGATAGTAGAGCTGACTGTTCTAAACTTCAGAAGATAGTAGCGCTGGCTGTTCTAAACTTAAGATAGTTGCGCTGACTGTTCTAAACTTCAGAAGAGAGTAGCGCTTACTGTTCAAAACTTCAGAAGATAGTAGTGCTGACTATTCAAAATTTCAGAAGATAGTATCTCTGACTGTTCAAAACTTCAGAAAATAGTAGCGCTGGCTGTTTAAAACTTCAGAAGATAGTAGTGCTGGCTGTTCAAAACTTCAAAGGATAGGAGCGCTGACTGTTCAAAACTTCAGAAGATAGTAGCGCTGACTGTTCAAAACTTCAGAAGATAGTAGCGCTGATTGTTCAAAACTTCAGAAGATGGTA